GGGCGGTCGTGGGAGCCTCTCCGGCGCTCTCGGACCGTTGGAAGCTCGAAAGCGCGAGAAGCCGAACACATTGAAAATCACCCTGGCGACGTACCCAACCCTTGCGCAATGCGGGGCATAAGTACATCAGGATTGCTGCAACGGGGGCGACGACGTAGCATGGACGCATGCGATTTTGCGAGCAGCCATCGGAAGGCTCGCAGGCCCCCGATCAAGATATACGGGCTACGTAATCACAAATCACCCCCGTTGGCTGTGCCATGCGCCCGTTGCGCCTAACGTATCCCACAGCAGCTCTCTCTCAAGAGCACCCCTTTCGCCCGATGTTCAGGAGTAAACAAAAACACACAGACACAATTCGTCGTCGATTCCCCAGAAGATATGGGAACATATGGGAAGTGGGGGGGAGACAAAATCCCCGAACATATGGGGAAATCCGGGGAATCCTGTGATTGGTGTCTCTTTATTTGTGTGTCCTAGGGCCCCTTCAGATGTGGAGGGATGACGAGGGGAGGAGGAGGTCGGTGGCGAGCCGGGGGGCGGGGGAAGCAAGAAGGGGAAAGGGCCTTCTCAGAAGGCTCGGAGGCCCCCCAGCCTTCTGAGAAGTTCCCAGAGATCCAACGTATTGAAAGAGTCACGACGGAGGTTTTTCTAAGTTTTTGGCCTCTGGGGGCCCTCGCCAGGCCACGGGACCGTCTAAAAACTATTCGGAACGGAAAACCGGTCCCGGGGAAAGGGTCGGGATTTCCGGGGACCCCGTATTGAAAAAATCACGACACCGGATCTCTGGGTTCTCAGAGCCTCCCCCGAAGACGCAGAAAGCGTCTCGGAAGGCGCGAGGGCTTCTGCGAGGTTCCGCTGCCCTCCGAGAAGGCCTTCTCCTCCTTCTTCTCCCCCCCCCTCGCCCCCCCCCCTCGCCCGCCGCCGAGGGGGAGGGAGGGGGCTCCAGCGCACAGTGGAAGGGGCGGTGGCAGCCAGCGGGCCCGCGACGGTCCTGCGAGCGAAGGGGTCACGTTCTCCCCTGGCAACCCCTGGGCGTACGGATGCACGGTGCCGCCCAGGGCCAGACCTGAACGCTGCTTCGCTGGACTTCGACCGTCTTTTGCGGTTCGTTGTGGCAGAGAGGCATTGGAAAGCAGGCACGGGGCAAAACGAACAGCACGACGAGAACCAAACGCAAAACACCGTTTGGGTCCCCAGACATCCGACGTCTCGACTGGTTCGAGACACGGGCCCCCGACCTCCCGACCACTTCCCCGAGGCCGGTTTCTTCATCCCGGGTCGTTTCTTGATGGCCCCGAGGCCCGGCGAGGGCCCCGAGAGCCCGAGAAACGACGAAGAAACTCCCGCCTCGATTCTGTTCGAGGCGCCCGATCTCTGGCGCCAGCCCTGGTGCCACGTGCTCCCGAGGCGCACGGCAGAGCGGCACGCACAGAGACCTCCGGCGCTCCGCGCCGGCTCTGCCGCAGGTCAACGCAGGGGGCCCCGCGCGCGGGCCCGAGACGTGCGCGCGGGCCGCTGGCCGTTTAGCTTTTGGTCGGCCCTGTCCCTCTACACCTTAGGCGATGCTTAAGAAAACCTAAGCTTTCGTCCAGAGTCTCGATTATTCTTAACTTTTCAATGTAAATCCCAAGATTTTAATAGAAGTTCGGGTTTTTTATTCAAATTCGCAGACTCTGAATTTCTTAACCCATGATTTCTTGAGCATTTCGCAGGGTGAACAGGGGGAATGCTCAAGAATAGTCAAAAAGTAGTCAGGGGACGATTGATTATTTTTTGGCCATTTTTGGGGGGTATGTTTGGGGTACTTTCTATTTTTCGCCGAAGATCCCGTCCTCTAGGGGGACAGGCCCGACTTCAGTTTAGCTGACAGTTTATGGTTGGGCCGTTTTTTTCCCCCGAATCAGTACTTGCACTGAAGGGGTCCTGGCGGAAGTGGAGCGATTTGGCGAAGGTGTCCCGCCGAGTTTGGTAGCAGGCTGGGTTCCCGGGTTCCGGGTTGCGGGTTCCCGGGTTCCCGGTTATTGGTTCCGGGCCGATTTCGGTGGATTCTGGGTTCCGAGGCTCCCGGGCTTCCGGTCGATCTAGTCAGCGCAAACCATCTATTGATTTGGGTTTTTCTCGTGTAATTGTTCCCTCCAATCTCGCGCAATCTTCCAGTGCCGCCCGATCCCTGCGCCTACAAGACGGTTGAAGTATTGAAGTACGTAGTCATTTTTGGACCCTCCAAGCTCAACCTGCTTTCGCCGCCTTCCCGCTTACAAGACTCGATCGGGTTTCCCTCCTCCGCCCTCTTCAGGGGGGCGGGCGGAAGCCCAACCTACTTCCAACGCCTGCTTGCTTCATCATTCTTCGGGAAACCAAGTGGTACCGATACCGCTACTCCCCAGACCTCTCCCGGGGCGCGTTCTGACCAGGATTTCAAGGCGAATCCAGCGGTGGGGACGTGGGCCGCCCGGGCAGAAAGGGGAAAACGAGGCGAGGGTGGCTGCATCGCTACCTCTTCCACCTCCGAGTTCTGTCTGTACCTCTTCCGACCGACGGGTGCAGCTGACGATGTCGAGCTCCGCTCCCCCTCGGTGCAGCCCCTGATGGGCTTGTTTTCCGCCACCACCACCATAAGTTGGAGGGGGAGGGGGTCCTCCTCCTCCACCTCCTCCTCCTCCTCCTAACTTGCTCCTCCTCTCCGTCCTCCTCCTCCTCGTCCTCCTCCCCCTCCTTCCCCCCTCCAACTGATGGTGGTGGTGGAGAACAGGCCAGTGCAGCCCTGCTGCCTGGCGGCTGCGCCCTGAGCAGCGGCGCGGCCGGCGCGCGCCGCCTCTCCCCCCCGCCGCTCGCCGGCCGCCCGCCCTGCCCGCCCCCCCCGGCAGCGGCAGCCACCGCATGCAGGGGGCGGTCGCTCCAGATGGATGTCCCTGTGGGCAGCGATTCGGGGCTCCAGAGACGGGGGCTAGCCAGAGCGCCAAGAGGAGGAGGAGGAGGAGGAGGAGGAGGAGGAGGAGGAGGAGGCGGAGGAGGAGGCGGAGGCGGAG